AAAGGAAGGAAGGAAGGAAGGAAGGAAGGAAGGAAGGAAGGGAATGAAAGGAAGGAAGGAAGAAAAGGAAAGGAAGGAAGGAAGGAAGGGAGGAAGGAAGGAAGGGAGGGAGGGAGGGAGGGAGGGAGGAACGGAGGGAGGGAGGGAAGGAAGGAAGGGAATGAAAGGAAGGAAGGGAATGAAAGGAAGGAAGGAAGGAAGGAAAAGAAGGAAGGATGGAAGGAAGGAAGAAGGGAGGAAAGAAAGAAAAATAAATAAATACACAAATAAATAAATAAATAAATAAACAAATAAACCTAGCATATATTTGGTACATTAAAAGGCCCATTGAATTACAGGCTGTCCTCACCTTATGACAGTTCATTTAGTGACCATTCATAGTTACAAGAGCATCGAAAGTTATTTATTTAACTATTCATTTATATATTTATACATTGATTTATACATTAAATTGGTTTGCTGCCTGTCTCTCCTCAAGGTGACTCCTCAGGGGGGCAGGTTTATCGACTGTTTCCAATATTATTTATTACGTGAACGAATTAAGATTTATTAATAAAGTCTGATCAATAAACTCAGGATTAAACGATCCCGTTTTCTCAAGAGCGGGAAACGTTGGCGAGTTTTCTCTAGTTTGCTGGCATTTTTTTTTTAGCCTAGGCCACTCCTTCTGGGGTGGCTTTTCCCTCTTATTGCCATGAGGACTAGAAACATGAAACTCTGCAGCGACCAATCGGTCTGAGGCATCGGGGTGTGTGTGAGTAGCCAGAGGATTGGGTGGAGGGAGGGCGGGGGGGGGGGTTAAAGGCGTATAGGATACCTGGTGCAGGTGGTCTCGCTTCAGCTCCCTCTCCAGCTGGTGCTGAGCCTCACGCAGCCGTAGCAGACCCTGCATCTGCCATTCCTGGAGGTCGTTCTTCCGCTGGGCCTCCTCGTGGTCCTGTCCTTGTCGAGCTCCCTCTAAAGAGCTTTGAGACCTGCCGACAAAGAAGACGCGGGAGTTGTGTTCCAATATCTGCGGGACCGTCCCCCAAGGTCCTTTTCTTCTTTTTTTTGTTTTGTTTTTTCAGTAGGTTGGTTGTTGTTGTTTTTTCTTTCTTCTTCTTTGGAAGACATTTTACTTCTCATCCAAGTAGCTGTGACTGGATGGAGGGGAACGGAAGGATTTATATTCCTTGCAAGGCAGCTGGTCGTTTGCATCCTTTTAGAGGGAGGGGGGGTTGAGGCCACTTGGAGGTCCCAAGGTCCCAAATTGTATAGCTAAAAGTCTGGAGAGATTCTCAAGGCAGCTGGTCGTTTGCATCCTTTTAGAGGGGGAGTTGAGGCCACTTGGAG